CTCACTAGATGTATGCGTCATTGTTTTGTACTCTGTTTCAGCACTAGATTATGCTATAATTGTCTCATTCTTACTTTTCCACGTAATAAGATTGTCTCATAAGAAAGTGCAGCATCCTGTAGTGGATTTTTCTATCTGAGGGTGAACTAGCCCAATCAGAATATGTAAAACCTTTCACCTTAAGGTGCCCATTGGATTTGTATATCAACCCAATACATGGAGCTTGCTTTAGATACCGGATAATATGAATAACAGCATTCCAATGTGGCACACTAGGAGCTCCTGAATCATTAGACTAACCGCATACGAGATATCAGGTCGATTTATAGTGAGATAAATTAGTTTTCCAACCAGTCACCGATATCTGCCAGGGTTGTTAACTAAATCACCATCATCAACTAAAAGTTTTGTATTCGGATCCATGAGGACATCAATTGGTCGACTACCTAACAAACATGTTTCTTCCAATAAGTCCAACACATAATTTTTTTGTGACAAACTTATACCTTTGTTCGATCTAGCAACTTCAATTCCTAAAAAATATCTGAGTTTACCCAAATCTTTGGTATGAAACTGATATTATAAGAACTCCTTCAATTTAACAATGCCCACAAAGTCATCACCTGTTATAATAATGTCATCCACATACACAACAAGGAAAATGGAACCTGTTTTAGTATGTTGATGAAATACTGAATGATTTGTATGGCATCTACGAAGACCAAATTTGAATGCCGCCCCAGAGAATTATCCAAACCAAGCCCTTAGTGATTGTTTCAAAACATAAAGATCCTTCTTTAAGTGACAAACACTATATTGATACCCCCCCGAGTAATAAATGTAAATGGTTGCTCCATAAAAACCTCTTTAACTAAGTCGCCATGTAAAAAAACATTATTATCATCCAATTGAAATTGGGGTCTGTTACGATTAACAGCAAGAGAAATAAGAACTTGAATAGACGAAATCTTTACAACAGGGGAAAATATTTCATCATAATCAACACCATATAAGTTTGTGTGTACCCCTTTGCAACTAGTTGCGCCTTTAAACGTTCAATAAAACCATTAGGAAGGTATTTCAAAGTGTACACCCACCTACAACCAACAGCTTTGATACCAAGAAGCAAAGGAACAAGATCTCATATCCTATTACGACGGAGGACATCCATTTCATCTTCCATTGATTTTCTCCAACCCGAATTAGAAAGAGCATCCTGCACATTCTTAGGAACAAGGGTAGAAGATAGTTGGGATGAAAAATGTTGTAAGTTTAGATATAACCACTCACAAGTGCACGAATTTTTACAGATTGGGCTTTTTGTAGGGGTGTCGTACCCAAGAAACTTGTATTAATTAAGTTGTTAATAGACTTCTTAAATTCTAAATTAATTTGAAGTAGGACAAAGAGTTATGATAGAATAATGATTTAATTTAATGAACTAAATAGAAAATTAAATTAAAAGAAAGAATTAAATTAGATGAGGAAAATATGAGAGAAGAGACTAGGGGCATGATTTCACCACTAACGTCGCACTACCAGTTAATTGCATCAATTTATTGAAGAGAGATGAAACATGCATAAGAAATTAATCATAACTACAAACACATATTAATTTAGCTAGAATATAATATAAAATTAAAGCGAAGCATGGATTATCTTCGATTAGTATAAACCATCTACCTAGCTACTCTACTCTATGATGTAGTATGGTCTATCTTCTTTAAGCATAATCCATCAAAATCCTAATATTATATTCAGTGAAAAACTATTGCATAACCATCTCATTCACAACTACAAAAAGTAAATAAGTTGTGTTCAATTACAAGCATTAAATACCCAAGACAAGATAGAAAATACTTTACAATTGAATTAAATATTTGAAAATGATTTCTATTGAAAAGTCAAATAAAATCCTCTAAGTTACACAATCATGCTTGAAAAATATTGTTTTTCCAATAAACAAATACAATCAAACCAGTACTACTAAGTTAAGGCTACATCACAGCCCTAGCATAGCTTTTAGCCGCTCATGACTGGAATGGACTTCTTCATGGTTGGGAAGAACATCTTCGCCGCTATACGTCGATCCTTTATTTATTCTCCTCCTCTGAATTTAGTCTCTAGCTCCTCTGTATGATGATTTCCTAATGGTGTAAAGAACTCTCTTTAAATAAGAGAAGAATAGTCCCAAAGTTACTTTTTCCAAAATAGGACATATATGAAAATTCTGCCAAACTAGGACTTCAAAATTCGTGCTGACTTCTAGCCCAGTTTTAACAAGGTAAACAGTTGTTTCATGAAATCTTTGTGAAATACAAAATTGTAGATCTTCAAATTTCCTTACAGTTTTGCGCGAAAAATTGAGTCATTTTGACATTCGAGGAAAATGATACAAACAGAATACCAAAACGGGATTAACTTCCCAATTTTAGAGAAAGTTTCCTAATTGGAGAATGATTCTTCTTTTTCTTTTGTTTCCATTCTTATCAACTTGTGGCTTCTCTTGAGCTTTTTTCTATGTCTAATTTGAGTTGGATCTTCATCATTGTGTGGCCCAATGGATTTGGTTTTCTAACCTTTTGCATATCATCTTTTAAAGCCCAAAATCACTGGTTTTGACTGATATATATTATAATTAAAGTCCAGAAATAAAGAAAAACACTAAAACAATATAAATTCACAAATAAAACTATTATTAAGAGAATAAAACATGCAAGTTAAGGAGCTAAAATGTATAACATTCAGTGCCTAACACACCCCCAAACTTATATATTGCTAATCCCTTAGCAATAAAACTAAAAAAACATAACTACTCCTGACTCCACTTTCGTGGGAGATACGATTGCATTTAAGCGCACACAAAGGTGGTCACGAGTCTGCCTTAGCTTGAGGTCTTGTGATCAATGGTTAGGATGGAGGCGTATATTCCCAAAAAAGATAGGTAACTAGATTTAGTGATGTGAGTGCCCTGGTAGAAGGAGGACTTATGACCACCTTTGTGTGCGCTTTGCATGAGATACTCACAATTCGGTTGAGTCTGCCTTAGTCAAATAAGAGTTTGTAGTGTGTTTATTATATATACCTATCGACTATGTAGCTATTGCATGAGTTAACAATAGATGTATAGTTTCTTCAGGTCTCTGTTTGGGTTGTCGTAGAAATGATTTGTTGTGGGTTTTGACCCACCATTATTATATCTTTCAGGTCCTTGTTCGTAGCAGGATTAACAGTTGTTCGTGTAAATTAGAGACTTGGCATCATCACTTTTCCAGAGTCATCGACGTAGGATTCTTCTTTATGACTATTTATTTCCGTTTAGACAGTTATATTTTATTTCGGTTAAGGGATTATTATTAGGGGTCCATGCTGAGGATTCCTGAGTTGTATTTTGAGGATTATTTACATTTGGGATTTAATGGATTTATTCAGAGGATTATTATTTAATTTATTTTTTCCCTTCAGTGATATTATTTCTTTATTATCTATGTTTTTGTATTATGTATTTGTTTATTACCTTAATTATTTAATACTCGCCTTGGTCTCGTGCGCGGACTTAATCAACCCGTGTTCTATTACCTTAATTGTTTAATATTCGCCCTTGGTCTCGTGCGAGGACTTAATCAACCCGTGTTCTAGAATCGAGAGGTATCACATTTTATTACCTGATTAACTCTTACGTAAAGGTTTATTTATTTATTTATTTTGCTTATTTGATATAAACTCATCAAATAGTGTTAAACGGGTTTGGCAAATTAGATTGATATACTTTAATCGGTATTAAGATTTAAATTGCTGAATAATAAGGAAATTTATTGTTTTGACATATTATTTACCTGTTTGCTCTAAGTTGCTTATTTGATAAATCTGTTTATTTATATTAGAGCATAGTTACTTGTATTCAATGGATTTCCCATAAGAAGAGAATTCAATTAATAGACCCATAAGGTAAAATATTTTTGCAAGCCTTAGGTGAAGATGTTTGGCAAATGATTGAAGAATGATATAATCTTGCTACAACTGGAATTCGTATAGGCAAGTATATTTTTGACTATACAGAAAAAAGAAAGTAAAAAAAGAACGTTAATTATAAAGCCTTACATACCATAGCGTCTGCCTTAGTACCTTCCGAGTATAATAGGATTATAGATTGTACAACCGCGACAGAGACATGGAACATATTAGAGAAAACACACGAAGGCATAGATATATTGAGAAAGACAATGGGTATAGGTGGGTGAGAGAGATCATGGGGTGTAATTTACCCTAAAATAATAATAAAAAAAATTAAACTCTCTCTCTCTCTCTCTATATATATATATATTATGCTCCTATCCAATATATTGCAGTGTAGTATAATTTTATCATACATCTTTCAATATTGAATAAATGTACGATGTATATAATTTATACTCCGTAATATATATAGACCTCTATATATTTATTAATTATGATTGGATATGATTTAGTTCGATGCTTTTAAAATCAAATTCAAATTAAAATTAAATTGTAGTTTATAAAATTTTAATTTTTAAAATTAAAATCGAACAATTTCATTATAAAATCCAACCAAACAACGCGATTGAATTAGGTACAGTTTAATTTACCAATTCTAACTGTTTACATGTTATATACCTTAAAGTTACACGCTTTAAAACTTCAGAAGATCCAATCAAACATTATAGTCATTATGTGTAATTGTGTCAGAAAAAAAAAAAAAAAAAAATCAAGCATTATAGTCACGCCCTCCCATGTGGAAGTTTCCTGCAGCACACGTCATGTATTTGAAAAACACCCTCACAAACGCATGAGAGCGCGTGACTTATCTCCTAACCAATAAAAACTTAAACGATGCCACACCCATCTGCATCACTTGTTCCGATAACATCGCGCGTTACAACCACGTACCCAAAAAGCGCGTGTAGATTTCACTTCCCAACCTTCCACATCCCACCACTCTCTCCGGAGCGTCGTTCTTGCTCCCTCTGCAAGCGCGTCGAACCCCCACTCTTCCGTTTTCTCTCTCTAAAAATTTCACCATTTTAGCCACACTCAACAGAGAGAGTAGCGTACACATGACTCGACGAATCCGATAAAAGTTGCTTCCTCTCTCCTCTCTCTTGTATTTGGCGAACAGAGATTACGAAGGAAAGTAGAAATGCTTCTCTCCCGCTCTTAATCCCCTCCATTCCTCGATCTCTTCGCCTATACCCTCGATTTCGTGCTATGAAACCCTAACTTTCTCTCTCTAAAATCATCCGCTCAACATCATTCATTCTACACATCTTCGAAGAATTCCCCGGTACGATGCTCGATTTTAATCTCTCTCTATATCTATATCTATATATCTATATCTGTATATTTGTAAAAAAGAAGTTTTTTTTTTTTTTTTTGAAGAATAATTCCTGTAACATTATATTTTGAATATATATGATTCATTTTTGGGATAAATTAAGTATAGATCTCAGATGGTTGGTTAAAGGTTGATTATTAACTGTATGTAAATATAGTTTGCTTAGCTTTGTATGGTTGTTATTACTTTAATCATTATTGTAATCGTCTTCTCGCGTGATTGTTTGGTGTTGCACGTTGTTTCTTTTCTTACGGAAGAGTTTTGCGAATCTCTGAGTTGCGTGTGTGCTTATATGTGTATATGGGTTTACTATTATTGTTGTGTATATGGCTGATGCATTTTGGTCGCTGCAACTAACTTTTATTGGATCTAGATTTACTCAAAGCGCGAGGTCAGCATTGTTTTGTTTGATTTTTATCTTCGTTTTTTTTATTTTTTATTTTTGCTGAATTATGAGCTTTAGAATTTGCACAATTTGGGAACTAGTTTTTTTTTTTTTTTTTGATAGTGTCCATTGTTTTCTGCTCTCTAATGTACATTAACTATTCACAAATGTTAATTGAGGTTTTTCTTAGGAGGGGTTGTGGACAAATTGACTGAATTTTCGCCGGAGCTATAGTTTAATGGTTTGCTTCCCTGTTTTAGACCTCAATTTTTTAGCTTTTTTATTTATAGTTACATCATTTTGGATCTTTAAGTGTTACTTAGTTTTTTAGTTACATCAGTTCGTCAGTGTTTTCAATAAATAATGCCATAATTATTTGAGGTTAGTTATGTTAAGTGTAAAATTTATAGGAATTAGTGTGAAATTTATATATGATTTGAGACCAGCTTCAGTTATGTTTAATGCATCTTTCATTGATTTTGTGAAATGTTATTGAAACAAGAGGCTTCGTTATTTGTGATTGGGTCATTCATTGGTTCTCTGTTAGGAAAGCTCTATTTCCTGAGATATCCTTTTACCCTTTTCACATAGTTGTTATTTGATAACTTATTTCAGAAATAAGTTATTAACCAATTATGTATCCAAGTGTGTTTGATAATGCAATTTGCATACTACTTATAAAAATAATTTTCACTTAAAATGGGTTATAATTTTAAGGGGGACTTCACTTATCCATAAACACTTAAATGTTGACGAGTATCAAAAAAATTATTAAGTTGCAATTAGCACTTAAAACTTCAATTTAAAATTCTGCTCTGGAAATTGTCTGTTCTTAATTTTCATATTTATCAAGCAATACCTTAAAGAATGTTCCTCTATGGAAATGAATTAGCTGCTGTTGATTGCTGTAGAAGCAATAATAAGCTTTGGCATATGTCTAATCCCCTCTTTTTTCAACCTTTTATATTTATGAAAATGGTTGGGGCATTTTTTTTTTTTTTTTTTTTTTTTTAAGTTTTCATTGATTTTACCTTTTCACTTTTTCGTTTCACTTGTTTTTGCATTTGAAAATGGCAAAAGATCTTGGTAGATTCTGAATAGAAATTATAATTTTCAACTTTTGGAGTCTTTCAGTTAAGTTTCTTGGGCTGTAATACAAATATTAGCCTTTGGGAATCTGTCATTGAAGAGCGTACCCGGTAACACTTTCTCTTAGAGGGTAACTCATACTTGATTGCAGATTCTGTTTTCAGATTTGCAGCCCTGCAGCACCTTGACTGTATGACACGATTCTATCCTTTCTTTTGGTGGTTTTTGGTGTATGTCAAGGAAGTGTGCTTGTAGTATAATTTGACCATGGGAAAAGCAATGGTTTTGGGTATCACTTCATTGTTGCTTTTCTCATCCTTTTGGCTATATGAAGGCATGTTCTCCTGGGCCTCGTCAGGTGAGCTGGAAGAGTGCATTTATAGCCTCTTTTGATGGTTAATCTGTTGAGGATAAATATCCTTTTGGTTTCTTTTCATTCCGGTTAGTTCTGTCTTTATTTTAAAGATCAAGGCCAACTGATAATGGGATATGGATGGATAAATTTCATTAATACAATGGAATTAATTTTTTTTTTTTAAACTCGTTTAATGAATTTCTGAATTGTGCATTCTTTTGTGCAGCATGTGCAATAATGTTAGTGACATTGATTTCCCCTTTAATTCTTTTTTATTTTCTATTAGATCCGGTCATTTGATATTTGGTTAATTACTTCAATGATGGTTGGTAATGTTATGATAGAGAGAAAAAGGAGCAGAATTGGAATATTCCACACCCTAACCTATTACTGTTATATAAGTTCCAAATTCACTTCACTTTGCACCCAAGTTTTACTGGATAAAAGTGTTGGAAATGAAGGTTACGAGTTATTGATTTTTTAGTAAAAACGTATTTTTTTTAAGACTAATACAACCTTATCAATTGAAAGATTAATTACACAAGGATAGTTTTTTAGATGGCAGAAGTGACAACGAATATGTGTTGGTTAAAAATGTTTTCTGGTTAGATATCTATAGGAATCCAATTCTTATGATGTGTGGTATAACTGAGGTCTGTTATATATATATATATTGATGGTATGTTGCACATCAAAACATATTAAGGACAAATTTCAAATAATCAATGTTGTGCAACTTTCCTTTTAACAACATATCATTCTGTCAGGACGTTCTTAGATATGGATGTGTTAACAGTTTGAAGAGTACAAGAAAGTTGTGTAGATCCTTTTCTCAGAATAGCTGAGAGATGACTAAGTAGTAAGCAAAAGAAGATATACAAAACAAAGCATAATTTAATAAGAGAGAAAAAAAAAAAACACAAAAAGATGCTCCCTTTTTGTAGAAAACAGAAAACATTTGGCAATTTCAAACGTCCCTAAGGTGGTAGAATTGTCTTTGGAAACTTTTTAACATGGTTGCTCCTCTTTGAGCTAAAGCATTCACCTAGTCAATCAAAGATTAACCCTTGAAGACTTGCGAGCTAGTTGAGTGGATACTGGATAGGTTTAAAATTTCTGTCAGGCAATAGGAGTGTCTCCAAGGACATAGAGAGTTGAGCTTCAATTTTATTAGTGGACTGCCCCTCTGCAAGTATATTGCTGCAGCTAAGATGCTTAACCTCTTCTTGGCGAATTAGTAGTGCTAATTCAGTTTGTAGTAAAGGATGGATTGTTTTAGATTCCCATGTTGTGTTATATTTGTGTTTGATGAGGTGGGCATTACAGGATTGATTAATAGTATTGTGAGGGTGATGGGGTAAGAACCGGCACTTTAGGCTCTGATAGAGAATATGCAGCAGGTTTGTGATCTAGACCTAGAGGGGAGGTGAACATGTTGGTTATCTTAAATAATTTTGGCTACTTTTTATGTTTTATCTGAATTACCAAATAACAAAAATTTAAACTTACACAATCTCAATGGTCAATCAGACCATCATGCTTTAATCATAACATATCCTATCATAACCTAAAGTAAATAAGCACAATGGACACCAAGATTTTTATGTGAAAAATCCTTTGGAAAAAACCACAGGACCTATTATAGCAAGACCAAAATACACTATAAGAAAGAGATTGCAACTAGCTTGACTGATCCACCAAATCAAACACAAAGTCTCCCAACACACAATCTGCTTTGTCAACAAATTGCGCTCTTCATGCGATCTGCTTCTTCAAAAGCACTTTTGGTCTCTAGATTAGTCCTCCAGTCAATCTCATTGATTGATTAGTTGTTGGTGTTGAACTTCAATCAAGCTCCACAACAATAGGATGTCAACATGCTCATATAACAACTCAACAGTCTTACTGAAGAAGAATTGATGAATGCAAAAACAAAATATATATGCACTCTAGCATCTCAATAAAGCTCAGAATCTCTCTAGTTTGTGTGTGTATGGTTTCCGAAATAAAGAGCTATTTGTAGGCAAAAAGGAATAGTAGAGAGAATAGGGTTTTAGAGTATTAATCTAAAAAGGAAACTAGCTTTCTAGAAATTTGATTGATATAGGATTCATGTCGATTGATCAACATACATCCGGTGCCTTTTGATTTCTATCGATTGACGTGCCCTATTGTAACGGGTGGGGGTGCTTTGCGATCTGACCCAAAAGCCTAAGCTATTAGGTGGGGCTGACACTCAGCTCATGTATACCTTATCACTCTCCCATCTGGATCTGATGTGGAACAAGCTCTCCCTTGTTACATTCTCCCCCACCCGAACTCGCAACGCCCTCGTTGGGGCTCGGGCCACCCTGCCTACCTAAGGTCCAGACCCGGACGCCCTCCAGGCGGGGCGCTTGGCGTGACACCGGATCAAGGACTCGGTCTGGCTCTGATATTAATTGTAACGGGTGGGTGCTTCGTGATCTGACCCAAAAGCCTAAGCTATTAGGTGGGGCTAAAATCCAGCCCATATATAAGCAATCACTCTCCTATCTGGATCCGATGTGGGACAAGCTCTCCCTTGTTATTTATCGTCTTTACTTAGAAAGTTTCATAAAAAGAAGTTTCTAAAAATGCTTTAATGTAATTCAATTAGGATTTTTTCAAATCAAAATATGAAGAAATGTAAGCCGAATGTATGCATGCATGAACTTTAATTTGGTGAGTGCACCGTTGGCTGTAGATTATTTCCAATTCTGCCCTTGGACAAGAGATCAGGTAACTAACTTGACACTAACTTTGGCAAACTAACTAAGACTAAAATTTGAACATTACATACTTAAGTTTTGATCCAGAGATATGTCAACATAAGTCCTGAGAATATTGTTGTTTGGATTCAAAATGGTTAAGTGAAAAAGGAATTTAGAAGTGATTTTTATTCTTGAATCAAATGGCAGGAATTTCAGTTTACTTAGATTTCCATTTCTGATTTCACTCGAGGGATGCTTTCGCATTTGTTGTTGGTGGGGTGTAAATGTAGACCATGTGTTGCCCCAACGTGATGTTTCTAATATTGCTTTCATGTCACACTATTGATAATAGTGCTAGCAATTTATTGAATTTGACTTTCAAGTATAT